AACGGAATGGCTTCAAACATGGCTTATTTTATTCAAAACTAGCAACTTTGTCGTCCGCAAGCGGCCGACTACGTTGCTAGTGTGCATTAACCATATTTTTTATTCATTTTTTTTCAAAAAAATTTAATATTAGAAATGTAAAAAAAAATTCTTTATATTGGATCTACCACCCAAGTAGCACGGTATATTGCTTGAATGTCAAGCTGATATCAACCGGGAATATTTTTGTGACATTTAGGCGATATCATAATGTCCTCTTCACGGGGACATTCCTCCGTGATGTATCTATGGGACGGTCTTTCACACAAAAAATGTAACGCGTTACAAAACTTACATTCTACATTTATTAAACCTAAATAATTCTGTGGAACTTTACTTTCATCTAAATCTTCAAAAGACATTATTGCAACTCCTGCACTTTTTTTATTCCAATTATCGTTTTTACATGTCAAATTCTTTTCTTCACACATTCCTTTCATCTTTCTTCTTCTTACATGACAAATTATTTTCTTGATGCACTTTCTTTTCATCTTGAGTTTCCATTGATATTTTTCTTTTCCTACATGCCAAATTTTTATCCTTGTGTATTTTCTTTCCATCTTCAATTTTTATAGATAATTTCTTTTTTTGCATGTCAAATTTTTTTTGCGCTCTTTCTATTTTATTTCTGATTTATTACGATTACGTTTTCTCAATCTCTCATTCTCCTGTCTTATTATTTTCTGCTCATATGAAACTTCGCGCCTTGCCTTCCTTTTTCTTCCCTTCTCTTTAATTGCTCGATTTATCTTTTTATCATTTTCTTTACTCAGAAAATTTTTCATTTTTAAATATTCATGTGGTGAAATTTTGTTCACCTTATTATCAGTTGTACGAATTATTTTCTTTTCACCAGTGTCATTTAGAGAATGTTTAATTTTTAAATCTTGTGTTAATAGAACTCTGTTAATATTATTACTGGGAATATAATTACTAAAAATATAATTTTTATGTTCCTGTGTTCAATTTATGAAAAGATGGTTCTAATCATTCTCTATTATCGAATTCCTATTGTGAGACGTTCTTACTGTCGGAAAATGATTTAAGCGATTATTTTCAAACATTGACTTAAAATTGTTTCTCATTTTGTTATTATCAGTTTCATAATTTACACGGTTTGGCATTACGTTAAATAATATAGATGTTGCAAATGCTATTGCATATACTCCACACTCAGCACTATCAAAAGGTTGTTGATCAACAGCTTCAAAAACTATAAAGTATTTGAATATGATTATCACCGTCTCTAATTGGGACAATAAAATCAAGCATTTGTACATACAAAAGAATCTTTTCTTAATAAATCTTCAAATTTGTACATATGCATGTAATTTAACAATTTATTTCTATTTTCAATAATTTTTAAATCTTTATCACTTAAAATAATATACTTTTTTATGTTGGCCATAGTATACTTCGTTTAATTTTATTTTTTATTCATGAAAATCTAAATATCTTTAACCCTTTTGCTCACTCCCTGTAATATAACCAATTTTGCCTTTTATTAAATATAACCAATTTTGTCTTTAATTCAATACAACCAATTTTACCTTTTATTAAATATAACCAATTTTTCCTTTAATTCAATACAACTAATTTTACCTTTTACTAAATATAACCAATTTTTCCTTTAATTCTATATAACCAATTTTTACTTTAATCCAATATAACCAATTTTGCCTTTTATCCAATAAAACTACCATATATCCAAATGAATGAGAGAACTATGTGTAACTATGAATCAGTAACTACTGATCAGCCAATAAGTGCAAAAAGGACACTCTTATATGAGTAATCAGTAGTTCATTATAAATAACATATATACGTATTCATAACTGTATTAAAACCCCGGAAAAAATACCATAAAAAAACCAGCCATTGGACAATAGAACCTTTGTTAATGAGGATTAACTCTAGAGGACCCAGCTAATAATTTCTTTTTTCACATTTATTATATAGAAAAATAAAGATGTACCAACCCTTGGCCAATAGAACCTTTGTTAATGAAGATTAACTCTGAGTACATAATGAAATGTACTGTAGGTTTACATTGACATCGGCACGTCTGACGTCTCGAAATTTTTTCCGTGTATTATCACATGGAAATATAAAGATAAAAGGCAAAAACTGAAGAGGTAATGTATATCTTTCTTTCTCACATCAAGGAATATAACATATAAACATTTTCATTTAATATTGCATTTCTCTATCTAGAGGATTCAAAATAACATAAGAATATCTTCGCCTAAAAATCTTACTCTTCTTTTTTTCTGTTTTCAAAATAAAAAAAAATATGTATATATACCAGTATTAGACCCTCAGAACAATTACCACAAACATTACCAATCCTTGGACAATAGAGCCTTTGTTAATGAAGATTAATTCTGAGGGGCCAGGTAATAATTTTTAAATTTTTTTATTAAAATTTTCTGGGGCTCTAATACAGGTAGGGAAGAGTGATAAACAGTGGCACAGTTTAAACAGTAGGACACTTTAATTTTCTGAAAAACTACTTAAAGAAACTCGACCAAAATTTAAATGTAAAGCATGTTTATGACAACACACTATCTCCAAAAATTTTAGCCACATTGATTCATTATTTACAAAGAAAATTGAAAAAAACTGTTTTTGACGTTACGGAGTAAATTTTTTCTTGAAATACAATGCTGATTTTTATATAAATAGGACAGTTTTAAAAAAAGTGTAATTGTTACTTCGTTTCCTGATGTTTTTAAGTATAATATCCAATAATTTAAAATATTTTAAAATGTTACAATCAATTTTTATTTAAATAATTTCTTGCGATTGCTTAATTTAAACAGTGTCAAAAAATATATAAAATTAACATATTAATATGTCTTTGAAAAAAAGTGTCCCACTGTTTGTCACTCTCCCCTATATACATATATACAGATATATGAATATTTATTTTTATTCTTAAAACAAAAAGGAAGAAGATTAAGATTTTAGACGAAGATGTTCTTATGCCATTTTCAATCTTCTAGATAGAGAAACGCAATGTTAAACGAAGAAGTACTTATGTTATATTCCTTGGTGTAAGAAAGAAAGGTATGCGTTACCTATTCAGTTTTAGAATTTCTTTATAGTTTTTTCACGTGATAAAGGGAGAAAGAAATTATTACCTGGGTCCTCAGAGTTATTAATTAATCCTCTTTAAAAGATTGCAGGTCAAGCGAACCCTCATTTGCAAAATAAAGATATATCTTTCTCTCTCCATAACTTGTTCTTTTCTCTGTCACCGAAAACCCAGCAGGGGTCCGGACGGAATGAATGAATGAATACCAAGATTATTATAGTTAATAATTTAATAAGTTTTCTAACCGTTTTTGAGTTTTTTTTGTATTTCCTTTTGTTGTTGCAGAAATATGATTGAAAAAGTGATGGCATGTTTTTTCAGAGAGTCGCGTGTAATCGTCCTGATACTTCTGGACGGTACTGTAAGTTTAAAAAATCTTTTAAAATTCCAAAAAAATCGTTTCCCTACGACGAAACAAGGCTCAAAATTTTTGTAAAAAAAGTAGTTTGTTTAAAATGTTTTCAAAAAAAAAAAAGTTGAAGGATACCAACAATAGTTATTACTTTGAGCGGCCACTAACTCGAATTGGCGCTAGTTCCTGGACCACTGATACATTCACGCGACGTCTATCATATTTTCCAAATGTCAACCAAAAATTCTATACCATTTTAGAGAAAATAATTTTTTTTTAATTTTATAATAAAACAAAGCAAATTCTTGATTATAATTCATAAATTGCTTCTCTTTCACATTTAGAGTAGAGTTCTTTCTTGTACAGGTGTAAGTGACGTAATACAACGAATTATAACTCGAAATAGAATGCTTTATTATCAAAAACATTAAAGTTGTGTATGTGTGTGTCACACAAGTGTGACCCGACAACCTGTATCTTCATTCATTTGAAGCAAATTCCGAGCTCTTGTACAACAACTCAGCGACTTCATTGAAATCCGAATCTTCCTCGTAAAAGTGAATAATCATATATGTAATCTATTTTCTTAAATCATAATTATAATAAACTATTATAAAAGGAAATATTTGTCTTTTTATTATTATAATTAACGCAAGTCCCATAGTCTTTATAAAATGACAACGATCATACAAAATAAAAATATTAGGTCTTACCATCCTGATTAATCAGCACAACCCTCCCAAGTAAAGAAATTGATTATTTATTTAAAAACCAAGCCTTAGCTCGAAATGTAACAAAAAGGAAAGAATAAATCACGAGAATTTAATTATTAAAAATTTTAAATCATATCTGTAAATTGAAAATGGTATTTTTCATTAAAATTTTGGATACCTGCCTGGATACTTAAAACTTCGATAAATATATATACCTATGCAGTCATTTAAAATTTTATATAATTTTCATTGATTATAGATAATGTATTATTAGTGTTTTAATATTTTTTTATTTTAGGTGTTTGTCTAGAATTCCAGGACGAAACCCTAATTGGGGTGCGAACTAGATTCAAAATTGGGCACTAATCAGGGCCTCACCATATTTCCTAACTTTAAAAAATCTATAATAAACGTGGCTTTCATTAAATTGTTTGACGCAGTGGGTATACGTAAATCTCATTTATATTTAGAATTTGGTAGAGTTTTCTAAAGTGATTTTCCAGAAAAATAAAATGATACATTGTAAAAACTAAAAACTGATCTATTGTAGTACACTCTCTTCTATATTTTCTTAAAAATAATATTACCTATCACATTCACTTTATATTATATTTTATTATTTAGACAAGATGTTAAAGACAGGAAATTGACATTATATTGAATAATGAATATACGTACATTCAGTATCATAATGCAAATATAAGAAAATTACCTTCTTGAATTTTAAAAAAATAACTATATATATGGAATAATAATAAGGGTTGCTTCTGGGAAGTCAGTAATCATCGATTGAAGTTAATATAAGGAGATATGACATTTTCTGTCTTTACTTTGAAAATTTATTGTAATCAATACATTGTAAAAAGTGGGGATTGGAAATGTACCATTCAATAAGAAAACTTTATTCACAATTGTTGTGTTTTAGTTCCAAAGAATTGAAAATGAAAAAATTCTCCAAATAATTATTTAAATTAATATACAATATATTTTCAGCTTAAAGTATATAGAATAAAATTCACAATGTTGGAGAAAAGCAGTGATAAGAACAAAAGAACCATAAAAGATATTTTACCGGCAACTTTTTTTTTAATGAAATTTTGCGGCTTATGGCAACCATTTAAATTAAATTATCCCATTTTGAGAATAGTCTATATTTTTTATTCAGTTTTTACAATGTTTACAATGATTTCCGTAGGATTGTCACTAATATGTTTCATTATTATTTCATCCGAAAGGATCAAAGATGCGATTATTGAAAATTCATTTTTACTTTTTACATTACTTAACGGTTGGGTGAAAGCTTTTATATTTTTATCTAGACATAGAGGTATTAAATCTTTATTGAAAACATTGCTGGAGGATCATTGCCAACCTCAGGACACCACTGAACTTGAAATGCAAAAGAAATTTGATGATGAAGCCAAGTATGTAATTTTTTGTTGTTGTTATTAAAGAAGTGGATTTTAAAAACGTTTTCTTCAAAATTAGAAATTGAGGAAATAAATTTTATTAATAACAATCGGATTTGTTTCCAACTTGATATTTTAGGGTTTTTTGTGTCGATGTAATAACGAATTTAACATCGAATGTTAATAATCTTTCGCCATATCAAATGAGATTGATTTTAAAAAACTTAAGGGATTCGTAATTATAATAGCTAACTTTTCTTCTATACAAGAATCAATTTTAATTTATTTTCTTATTACTATTACAGAAAAATAACAGTTATTTATTCAAGTATGATCGCATTTGGCGTAACTTCAATGTATTTATCAATATTGATTAATGATGAAAGAGCACAAGCTCTCAACACATGGCGACCATATGAAATTAATTTGAAACTTTATTTTTGGATAACGTGGATTCATGAATTTATTGGTCACTTTGTAACATCAAGTGTACATATAGTTGGTGATACTATGGTACCGGGTTTTATTATTCAACTTTGCTGTCAATTAAATTTTTTGCAACATCGATTAAATGACTTTCCTTATAAAGTGGAAAATATTCGTAAGACTTCAAATTCCAGTATAATTAAACAAAAATTAGAGTCATCATTTATTTCAAAAACTGTTGTACATCATAACACAATATTTCGGTAAATTATACTATTTTTCAATAAAATATTTTTAATATATATATATATATTTTTTTTTATAAACAAAATATATTTTTAAGACAAAAAAAATAAAATAGGTTTGCGGAAAAAATTACAAATCTATTTGTGGAAATATTATTTGCTCAATTTGTTTCAAGTTTAATTGCCATTTGTGTAACTGTTTATAAAATTTCAAAGGAACCTCTGAATTATGAAAATTCATTATCACTTTTTCCATTTGTGATTTGCATGTTAACGCAACTTTTACTTTATTGTTTTTATGGAAATGAATTAATGTTTAGCGTAAGTATTTAAAAAAAATTGTTTTAAATAAATTGTTTATATTAAAAAATATACAAAAAATAATTTTTAAAAATAGACCACAACAAGTTTACTATATAATACTGATCCTTAAGGGTATGTGGGCAAAAGACGTTTTTTTTTTGTAATTTGAAATTTTCTCTGAAATAAAAAATGATTTCGGGTTAACATTTTGGAGAAATGATTTTTTAGGGTACAAGAAATCTTACTGTTCTACTCATTTACTGTATAGTAGAGTGAGGCGAGATCACCATTTTTTCAGTTTTTGATCTGTATTTCCGGTCCCCGAGCCGATAAATTGGATTTTTTAACTTTCATGAATTCTTAAAATTTAAATCAAATCTATACATAATATATACCAATCAATTCGTCTTGATATAAGAAAGACGATTATATTATATATTACCTTAAATTTTTCTATTTTAAAAATTTTTTTAAATTAAAAAAAATTTTGGAAAAAAACGATAAAAAATTTTTTTGGGGTATTTCTAAAAATCCTCTCGTCATTTTTGAGAGATTAATGTGATAAATAAGCCTACCTAATTTTATCCAAATCCATTAAAACCTGTTATATAGTGTTCACAAAAACGATCCACACACATACAAACACAGACCCACACTTACATCCAGACAATTGATCAGGATCTCATATAACATGTTTCTATATAGAGGAAAAAAATATAATATAATATAATCATCTTCCTTACGTCAAGACGAATCTATATGGTATATATGAAGTATAGATTTGATTTAAATTTAAAGAATTAATGAAAGTTAAAAAATCAAAAATTCAAATTTTAGCTATAAAATTTTGTGTTTTTTTAAATTGAAGTGTATATATGAAATAATTTTATTCCTTGTATGAAAACGAATCAATTGGTATGTATATATAAAGTATAGATTTGATTTAAATTTTAAGAATAATTAAAAATTGAAAAATCAAGAATTCATATTTTAGCTAAAAAATTTTGTGTTTTTTTAAATTCAAGTTAATACATAAAATAATTGAATCCCTTGCATTAAGGCGAATCGAATCGTATATATAAAGTATATGTTACACCCAAAATGATTTAAAATTTTCTTAATTTTTTGAAATTTAAAAAAAATTTTTTTTGCTTTCTTGTTTTCTTAGATATAACTTGTACACAATTTTTGTCTGCCTTTCTGAGGTGAAAACCCGGTAGAAATACCCTCATAGTCAAAAATGCAATTTCCATTTGGAAGATTAATAAACGCTAAAAAATACACGACCTAAGATTTACCAATCACGAAAATGACAAAAAAAAATTTTATTAACTATTGAACATATTCATACTGCTTTACTGATTGTGACAGCCCTTTGGTAGATTATGGGTGTTTTCGACGTCGACTCTCTGAGTGTTCTGAAAGTGTTAAGTGGTTCTCAACCAATATTAAAAATTATGATTAGCCATAACTTATTATGATTGGCTAAAGCATGCTAAAAGTGACATGTTTGTGATACGGGCTGCAGTTTTAGGTGATGTGCACAAAAAAGGGTGTGTTATTTGCATGCTTTATTTGAAATTGGATGCGTTCGGGCTGTGCTCGTGCTCTGGTTTCTCAATCTTGTTTAATAAACCGAGCGTATTTTCTGAGTGCGAAAGTAAATAACGGAAAATTTTCCAAAATGGCAAATTTAAACCCTGAAGTCAATTACGTTAACGCTATAGGAATTGTACAAAATCTTGTTGAAATATAAATAAAATAAATAAAATAAATAAAATAAATAAAATAAATAAAATAAATAAAATAAATAAAATAAATAAAATAAATAAAATAAATAAAATAAATAAAATAAATAAAATAAATAAAATAAATAAAATAAATAAAATAAATAAAATAAATAAAATAAATAAAATAAATAAAATAAATAAAATAAATAAAATAAATAAAATAAATAAAATAAATAAAATAAATAAAATAAATAAAATAAATAAAATAAATAAAATAAATAAAATAAATAAAATAAATAAAATAAATAAAATAAATAAAATAAATAAAATAAATAAAATAAATAAAATAAATAAAATAAATAAAATAAATAAAATAAATAAAATAAATAAAATAAATAAATAAAATAAATAAATCAAAAATATAAATATTACATTAAAATTAATACTTACTCGTATCAACGTTCGTTACGTCGCATAAAATGCGACCATTATTCTTGAATAATGTTTTATTGTTCTTTAAAACTAAACCATTTAAAATTATTCTTTCCTCCAGGATGCAACAGCGTGGTCTTCACCGGTTTTGAAAGCGTAATGAGAAGATTGCATTGGATTAGGTTAGGTTAAATTAGGTTAAATTAGGTTAAATACTCTAAAATAATAAAATGTGGTTGAGAACCTTTTCGAGCTCTCAGAGCGCTCAGAGTGCCAACGTCGAAAACACCCTATGTATTTCAGGTGGTTAGCAACAGCGCCAATCTCCTCCTTTCGGCAAAACTGTGAAACGTCTGGTGACATATACAACCTGCCAAACGGCTGTCATAATGAGTAAAATATGTTATGTTAAAATACTTTTTTTGTTATTTTCGTGATTGGTAAATTTTAGGTCGTGTATTTTTTAGCGTTTATTAATTTTCCAAATGGAAATGGCATTTTTGATTGTAATTTCTGAGAAAGTACTGTTACAGTTTTTGTGAAAAAAGTGCTCATATTTAATTTATTGACATGAAATTTTTTTTTATTATTTTAACTCAAAAAAAGTTTTAGCTGGTGTACATCTTGCCAATAATCAATTATCCATAAAGGAAAAAGCATTTTACCTTCTTGTTTTCAAGAAAAGGCTGTTGAAAATTTTCAAAAATTTTAGTTTCAATGTAGATGGCGCTGCCTCACTTGGACCTGGCCTTAAGGTGCCAATAACTGGGTCACAGTTACCCTACCCTCTTCTCAGTCATCAATTTGACATGAAATTTATTTTCCTTCATAAAAACGTAAATACTAAAAAAAACTAATAAATATGTCGGGAATATTAACAGCAACATTTTTTGTAGTTAGTACAAATAGATTGATGTCAAATTGATTGACGATTTCTCACTAATGCATATTTTAAGTTTAAAAATAGAGTTGTATGTAGTGATTTATGATTAAACTTTGTTAGTTGCTTATTATATGATGGTTTTAACTTATATTTAAATATATCTTCAATTCATTGTATTAAAATATTAAAAACGCTGACAATTAGAATAGAAAAATGGAAGTTTAAGTGTATAATTAAAATAATGTTTCAAATAATAATAATAATAATAATAATAATATTTCAAACAGAGTAGTGATTTACAGGAAGCAATTTTTGAAAGCAATTGGCTATTTCTTGGAAAAGAAACAAGAAAAAGCTTGATAATAATGATGATTCGTTGCAAAAAGCCAATTTTAATTTCTATTTGTTCAGTTGCATTTGTCAATTTAAATTCTTTCGCATCGGTCAGTAAAATATTTTAAATATCTATTTTATTTATTGTTGTTATAAATGATTTATTGTAGTTGAATTCAAATTTTTTATATTTCTGTTACTTAAATTTAAATATATTGTCACTTTTCACGATTTCAATTATTAAAATTTAATTGTTAATCATGAGAAACTAAGTTGTTTTTTACTGACAATGTAAAAACTGACTAATTTCAAAGAAATTTTTTATTCTATTTGAGAAAATATAAAACATTGTAAAACCAGAGTAATTTTCACTCTAATTTGTATTCAAGAAGTTCATTAAATTAATTTTTTTGTTTATAGATTCTAAAGGCTTCATATTCAGCTTACAATGTTTTACAACATTCTGTATAATTCGTTTGTAGTTTCTCAAAATAGGTATTAATTAATTTTTTCAAAAACCACTCCAATATAACTATGTACGTTAAAATTTATTTGAAAAATATATTTTCTTTAAAAAAAAATTTTACCTCATTATTACATAGAAAATTAAAAGGCATTAAAATATTAAGTGTTGCAGCTTATTTTAATGCCTTTTAATTTTCTGTGTATAGCTTATTATATTTTATAAATATTTACTTTTTTACCAAATGGTTAAATAAATTAAATTTAATAAATTTTTTTACAATGTACAGGTATATTTTGTCTTTATGTTATTTAAAAGTAATACAGTCAAGATGTTGAAGTCAGGTAATTGACAATATTGAATAATGTAACAGTTTATTCTTGCGAATACATTTTGTACTATGCAAATATATAAGGGTTTTTTTTTAATAGCCATAAGAAAATTGCCTTCAAGTATAATATATAAATATATATATATAGAATAATAAGGAGTACTTTCTTAAGAAGTCATCGATTGAAGTTAGATATTAATTTATTATATAAACAGAATAAGCGACATTCTATCTTTCCATTGAAAAATAATATTTAAATCAATATATTGAAAAGTAGTGGGGACTAAACAAACCCAACATTTAACTAAAAGACTTTATTCATTTTTGTAGTGTTTTTAATTTTTTTAAATTTTGAAGTTGAATGTATTTATAAATAATTATTAATATTATTTATTTTATATTATTTTCACTTCAAATTAATATTGGATAAAGAAGAAACACAATCATAATGTTAAAGAAAATCAGTGAAAATAAAAAAAGAACCATGAAAGATATTTTACCGGCAACATTTTTTTTAATGAAACTTTGTGGCTTATGGCAGCCATTTGATTGCACTAAATTTTTTTTTAAAATTATTTATATTTTTTATGCAGTTTTTACTTTTTTTACAATTATTTCAGTTGGATTATCACTTGTGTGCGTGATAATTATTTCCTCAGAAAATATCAAAGATGCAATTGTAGAAAATTCATTTTTATTATTTACGTTACTGAATGGTTGGGTTAAAGGATTAATTCTTATATGCAGAAGAAATCATATAAAATCATTGTTACGTAGTTTATTAGATGAACAGAGTCAACCATTGGATAGTACTGAAGAAGAAATACAAAATAAAGTTGATAAAAAAGCTAAGTGAGTTTGAGTAAATATATTATATTCTTTTTATTTTTTTAATACAGATAAAGTCTAGATTTTTGAAAAAAATTTAAGTTTTTAAATCTGAAAAAATATATTTATTAATGGTATTTTGTTTAAAAATATATAGAAAGAATAAAAAACAATTTTTTCTCACCACGATGATCATTCTGAAAAAAAATTATTAAACAGCATACAATATAATTTTAGCTTATTTAGAATTTTATTTGGACAAAAAGTTATGTTTTCCAAATAAATGTAAATAAACATTTTTTACAAGACAAAAAGAAAATAGCGACACAGATATATCATGCATAATTCTTACAACTAGAACCGTTCACACCAAAAAAACGTTCCCCGTCTTTAAAAAAAATTTACACCACATTCATGAAACTAACAACCTCCCTAGCCATCTCTAAAGAACGCGAATACCTGACGAATGGTACTCACACATACCACTCAGGTGCAAATAGACCTACACTAGGGATTACGTCCCGGGACGGATCAGTCACCTGAGCTTAAACGCTCACAAAAACCAGTCAGACAGGGATGAATTTTCTACCAATCACACGAAGACAAAGTATCCGTGAGACGAAGAGGGTAGTTACGCGTTGTTAAAGATGAATTTTAAAACAATATATATAATATATATTGTGTAAAAACCCAAATAATACAATAGTACAGTATCCCACACAGAACTGGAAGTTTAGTAAACATTTATTAAAACTTTAACTGCAATGTTCGGAATATTTAATTGCAAACTTGAGTAAAGGTTGCATAAATATTAAAATGTCCGCCATGAATAAATGTTTATCAGGAAAGTTGAGTAAACATTTAAATTAAATGTTCGCTAAATGTTTAGTGTGAAAGTTGAATAAACATTGAAATTAAATGTTCGTTAAATGTTTAGTTCGAAAGTTGAGTAAACATTTAAATTAAATGTTCGATAAATGTTTAGCAGGTAAGTTGACTAAATAATTAAATTAAACATTCGTTTAAGTTTTATCGCAAAAGTGGATTGGAAATTTAATTTAAATATTCAGTCAACTTTTGCGACGAACATTTCCTGAAAATTTAAATTACATATTCAGAAAATAAAAATAAATAATATTTAAGAAGTATTAATAATAATAATAATAATAATAATATATAGATCATTATAATTATTGTTGTATTAATTTATATTAATAGTTATTAAGTATTATTATTATTAATCATTAGTTATTAATTATCGGAGGACAATAAAAAAAAATTTATTTTTTGGGAATAAAAATAAAATAAATAAGTTTCAACATCCGTTGCTCTGCTTTGATGCTTTGTTTCACATTGAATCAAGTATTGCATGCTTGATAAACAACAATTTTTGGAAACAAATTGGGGTGTGCTGGGGATTGAACCTACGTTCGCCGCGCGCTAGCTAAAGACCCTAACCACTACACTACAGATATAATGGCTGAAAAAAAAATCTTCCACACACTCTACAACTTACTGATAGACAATTAGTGATTCTACTTATTGACTCAAAAGGGCGGGCTAATTTAAAAAGGTTTTCACGGAGATATTTGAATATTCCAAATATTTACATTGTAGGTGAATAAAAAATTTAAAAGTGTATCGAAATAATACTGTAAAACATTTTTATATAACTGAAGGTCATATGAAAGGGTTATTATAAAATTAATTAATTTTTTAAATATTATTTATTAATTAAAAATTCACAAATTGGTGGAAATTAATTTCAAAATTTTTTATTTATTATTAAACAATTCTATTAGTTTTTTTAAAGCCAAAAAAGGCTTTTTTAAAAATAATTAAGGAAACAATTTTAATGTATTAAAATAAAAAATGAAAGTTAACATAGAAATTCTATTTTCTAAACATTTAAATCAAAATTATTATTTACAATTAATTTATTTATTATAATTGAAAAATTTACTAATAAATTAAAAATTAATTTTTAAATTTTTTGTGTTTTGCAAAAGATTTAATTAATTTTTAAAGTGGAGAAAAATTGTTTGTTAAAATTAATAAAGTAAACAAATTATATACATTAAAATAGAAATAGAACAAGTAAATGAAACAAGTAATATGAACACATGAAACAAAATTTGTCAGTGGTATTTTTCTAATTCAAATTTATAGTGCATTTGTTTATAATTGACATAGATTGAAAACATAATTTAGCTAGTTCTATTATTTTTTAGTTATATTGTTTTACATTAGGTAATCCTTTTTTTATAACTGTAATTTAAATTTTGTTTCATGTGTTCATATTACTTGTTTCATTTACTTGTTCTATTTCTATTTTAATGTATATAATAATAATATTATATAATTATAATAATAAAGTTGTAGAATGTGTGGAAGGTTTTTTTTCAGCCATATATCTGTAGTGTAGTGGTTAGGGTGTTTAGCTAGCGCGCGGCGAACGTAGGTTCAATTCCCAGCACACCCCAACTTTCGCACTAAACATTTAACGAAAATTTAATTTAAATGTTTACTCAACTTTCCTGTTAAACATTTAAGGAATATTTAATTTAAATGTTTACTCAGCTTTCCTGATAAACATTTAACGAATATTTAATTTAAATGTTCACTCAACTTTCCTGATAAACATTTATTCATGGCGGACATTTTAATATTTATGCAACACTCTTCTGTTTTTTCTATATATTTAAGTTAAATTTAAATATTAAAATATTTATCTTATAGATATAAAAAAATTTTTGCAAAAATATATAATTTTTGTATTTTTACAATGTACAATAAATAACAATATTTTAATATAATGATCAAAAATATAAAAAAATTTTGTTCCCACCATTTAAAATTACCAAAGTGGACATCTTTTTTTAAACGATTGAAGAATGCAGACTGTTTTTCGCTTATTATGCGAAGCTATTATAAATTTTTTAAATTAATTAAAGTCATGCATCATAAATATTAAGAAATATTACACTGCACTTTCTTTAATTGTTCAAAAAATATTGCTACAATGAGGCCCTCTACCCTGCATAAAGTTTTGATACTAATTATAAAAGAGACAGACAAACATAATAATACTTTATCATTTAAATTTTGATAAATGTTGGAAATTAAAATTTTTTATATTTTCGTGTATTATATTAAAATATTATGTTTGCAATGTATTGTATTTAAAAAATAGAAAATGATATTAATAATATTATTTTTGCAAAATTTTTATGTGTATTATTATCTTGTCCTATCAAAAGCGGACTATCGAATTTTGAAACAAAATATTAAAAATATAAAATGATTACCCTGAACGGTGGATCACTTGGCTCGTGGGTCGATGAAGAACACAGCTAATTGCGCGTCATATTGTGAACTGCAGGACACATGAACATCGACATTTCAAACGCACATTGCGGTCCACGGATACAATTCCCGGACCACGCCTGGCTGAGGGTCGTTTATAATATAAAAACTGCTTTTTATTCAAAATTTGAATAATTATAGCGAAATAATGAACGTTCATCAAATAATATTTTATAATAATAATAAAAAAAATATATATTGATGTCGTTTGAAATAAGTTGAATTATTATATTATAAAAATAATATATATAATACAAAAAATGGCAAGTCAAACAAATTATTATTTGAACGATTTAATTCACGTATCAAAAAATAAAGACATGAATTTTAAATTTATATTTGATTGACTATTGTCGTTGTGTCAATGAGTAAATTTTACTTCGACCGACGATTAATAATAAAATCATTTTATATAATGTTGTCTATTTGATACAAATAAGTGAATATTTGTTTTTGATATTTTTATATTATCCATAAAAAAACGCGATTGCAAAAAAAAATAGGAAAGTAATATAATAATGACACGTTCATATTACGTCCTGTCGCCGTCAGATGGCAGAAACATGCAGGGAGCACAAAGAGTTGCCAATGACCGTCACCAAACGCAACTGCGCTTGTGCAACTACAACTCACTCATTGGTAGAAAAAGGCGCTCTTATATTAAAAGCTTCAATATAAGAAAAAATGTTTAGAAAACTATAAAAACAAATAATTGTAAGTGTTTAATTTATTGTTTTTATTTTTAAATGTAAAGTTTTTTAATAAAAATTAATTTTCATTCATTATTTTCTAAATAATTTTTAAGTTCAAATAATTTTAAAAGTCATAACAAAGCAAGTATGTGTTTATTTATTATTATTTCTATTATTTTTTATAAATTTAATTTGGAAAATTTTTTAATTATATAAAAAAAAATTCCCGTGATAATTAATTAGTAAATTAGTATACTATAATTTTAAAGTTGATTTTTATAGAAAAAACAACAGTTTTAACAAAAAACAAAATTGTAAGGAAAAAAATTTAACAATCCATCCAAGTCATACTTGACTTGGATGGATTGTTAAATTTTTTTCCTTACTATTCATTACACCAAGGGATAAATTCATTATTAAATTAAAAAACAAAATTATTGCTACAGAAAATTAATCAGTATAGGAATAATTTTGATATTTTTTATAATGGCTTTGTTCTATAAAAATCAACTTTTGAATTAAAATACGCTAATTCACTAATTAATTAAAACTGTAGTTTTTTTTTAATATAATTAAAAAAAAATTGAATTTAAATTTGTAAATAATAATAAATAAACACATATTTGCTTTGTTAATTTTTTTATTAAAAAAACTTTATAATACAAAATAAAAACAATAAATTGAACACTTATGATTGAAAAAAAAATTTTCTAAACATTTTCTTATATTAAAGCGTTATAAATAAGAGCGCCTTTTTCTACTAATGAAAAAGTCGTAGTAGCGCAAGCGCAGTTGGTCATTGGCAACTCTGTTTGTGTTCCCTGCATGTTTTTGACATCTGACGGCGACAGGACGTAATGAACGTGTCATTATATATTGCTTTTCTACTTATCTTTTTGCAATCGCACTTTTGCATGGATTCGCACAATCTTTCAGATTTTGGAAATTTATAAGATAAGAATCCTTGTTATTTTGTCCGATTTTGTAAAAAGTATTCGTGTTTGGAGAAAAAAATATTTTAAAATCAATGTTTATTATTTTCATCTATATAAATTTAATTTTTTTTTAACATTAATTGTTAATCTGATAATTTAAATTTAAATTCTTAATAAATATCTAAATATTTTTGACTGAAATGAAAATTTTGATTATAATCAAATATTATTTAAATAATATTGTAGAAATAATTACATATTAGTAATATTTATTTATTATTTATTTCAAATTTTAATATTTATATATATCAAAAGAATTATATTGCTTACCTATATCCATGGCAATATATGTCTAAAAATATAAAGCGGAGATTATATGAAATATGTCATTTATGAATATCTTCAATGAACATCATAATTGAGTTATATCCGAAAATTCTGGTCAAACCCCTAAAAAATATATAAATTATTAAAAAAACATTTTATGCAGGAAAATTACCATTATACATGCAACATCAGTTGGATTAGCCGTAGTATCAATGTATTTTGCTGTACTTTCCAAAAATGGAGATGAAAGAATAAAAATATTAAACTCTTGGCGTCCCTATAATTTAAGAGTGCCATTATATTTTTGGATCACTTGGTTTCATGAATTTATTGGACATTTTCAAACAAGTATCGTTCATTTATCTGCCGATACACTAGTACCAGGACTTATGATTCAACTTTGTTGTCAATTAAAATTTATACGTTATAGATTAAATGAATTTTCGTCTCAAATTAAAAAATTGAAAAATTCCAAAATTAACAAACAAGAATTAGAGACAGCTTTTATATCAAAAACAATTATACACCACAATACTTTATTTCTGTAAGTTATTTGATGATGAATTTTCATTTTATTTCTAATAATATAAAATGCATGCATTAAATTTAAATAATTGATTAATATCAATCATTATTTATTAGTTATAATTAAATTATAATTGTATTAATTAGGTGTATTTTCGATTCATGAATTAATTTTACATATAAAATTTATATATTACTTTTTTTTGATAATTATAGATTTGCAGAACAATTAAAAAATACATTTATGGAAATACTTGTTTCACAATTTTCTTTAAGTTTGATTATTATTTGCTTTAGTGGATATAAAATTTCTAATCAGTCTACTCTCGACTATGCAAATATAATAACACTTTATTCATATATTCTCTGCATTTTAATTCAACTATTCTTATTCTGTTGGTTTGGTAATGAATTAATGTTGTGCGTAAGTATCGTTTTTATTGGAAGTTTCACATTATTTGTATAGTACGTTTAGAATCAAATCTAAAAAAGCAAGTGTTCAAAGGACCAAAATTCTTTTTCTTTTGCTTATGGAGGTATCTCATTTAATCATTAACTATAATGGCAATTTTTGAATTATTCAAAATAACGACGATAAACATTTTGCCTTAAAAATAAATACTTATAAAAAATTTCTTGCTTATTAAGATTTTTAATTTCTAAAATATTTAATTTTTTTTTTTTTGTAAAATAGTGTTGATAATTTAATTTATAAAATAAGAAATATGTTTTAGAGCAATAATTTACAAAGTGCTGTTTACGAAACAGATTGGCTTTATTTTGAAAATAAAACGAAAAAAAGTCTAATAATTATTATGATAAGAACAGGAAGACCTATATTAATTTCTGCAGGTTCTATGGTATTGGTTAATTTAAATTCGTTCGTAATTGTAAGTAATTTAATATAATAATATAAAATTCACAATTAATGCACTAAAACTATTTATTTTTAGATTCTAAAAACATCTTATACCGCTTATAATGTCTTACAACATAGTCAATGAACCAAGAATATTTTTTTTATAGATATTTTCCAATTAGGAGCCGTTCATAAATTACGCAATACTTTTTTATTGAAATTTTGAACCCCCCCCCCACTATATCTGTTACGTTATTTTTAAAAATATTGTCATTAAGATGTTTTTTAAACCTACATTTGAAACCCCAAATACTATATTAAGTTCTTCTTGTACCCCCTAAAAAACATATTACGTAATTTATATAAACGGCCCTTTACTGAAGGTTTTATCTATTAGAGCTTCAAAGTTAACGGATTTCAACAAAATGTAAGAAAAAAATAATTACAAAAGAAAGATTTTAAAAGCAGAATTAATATTTTTTAAAAATTTGTTTTTTGTATATTTACACTGTTATACTTTTTTAAAAACCAAAAAAAAAGAGAAAATAACAATAAGTTTCTATGGTAATAATTAATAAAACACTATATAGAGTATATGACAAACAATAGGTTTACATGTGTACATAAAATTAGAAATTAATTATTTATAAAATTTTCCAGTGCACTTACATTTATAATGTACATAAACAATGAAAAATTACTTCCTATATATACATAATAAAACAGAAGGGAAGATCTTGCATCAGTATCATTCTATTTTTATACTACACATGGAAGAGTGTGTAAAATTATAATGAACGCATACTTATATGCTTATAATTCATAACGGATGGTAATTCGATTACAAACATTTTACCTCAGAGAATTGACATTATAAAATTATAATGACTGTATATTTATATACAGAGGAGTAGAAAATGTATATAGATTATTTTCACTGTAACAACTATAATAGAGATTGTACAACGAAAGAGACAAAGATATATATATTGTTACCTTAAAAATAATAATATTATTTTGTTATTATAGTAGTACTAAAACATTTTGTTATTTAAAAAAAAAACAATTTTTTAAACCCATTCCTTAAAATATTAATAATGTGCAAAGATATTATAAAAGAAAATAAAAATACTTTTACAAATAAAAGAAAAATAAAAGATATTCTTCCTCTAACATTTAGATTAATGAAATTTTGTGGTCTATGGCAACCATATAAATTGTCTTCTTTTTTTAAAATTTTATATACCCTCTATAAGCTACTTATAATGTTTATAATAATTACAGTAACATTATCATTAGTTTGTGTAACATTTTTTTCTGTTGATGGCTTGAAAAATTCACTATTTGAAAATTTATTTCTACTTCTTACGCTTTTAAATGGTTGCATTAAAATATTAGTCATATTAATTAAAAAACAAAAAATTTTGTCTCTAATAACTGCATTAGCACAATATCAACCAGAAAATATAAAAGAAGAAAAAATTCAAGCTGAATTCGATGAAGAGATTAAGTATACCTAAATCAAGAATTATTTTTTTTAATTTTGAATTTCATTTTAATAATTATTGCTTCCTCGTGGAGGAAGCTTTGTAGTCCTTTCGTTTATAAAAATTTTTAAAGTGGCGGAAACAACATGTTATATGAGATCCTGATCAATTGTCCGGATTTTTTTTAATCGAAAAAATTTTTAAATAGAAAAATTTAAGGTTATATATAATAAAATCATATTCCTTACGTCAAGACAAATCGATTGGTATATATAAAGTATGGTTTCAATTTAAATTTAAAGAATTAATGAAAGTTAAAAAATCAAAAATTCACATTTTGTCACATAAAAATTTGTGATTTTTAAAATTGAAGTTTATATATAAAATAATTGTATTTCTTACATGAAAACGAATCGATTGGTATATATATAAAGTATACATTTGAGGTAAATTTAAAAAATTAATGAAAGTTAAAAAAAAATTCCCATTTTAGCTGAAAAATTTTGCATTTATTTAAATTTGCATTGAAATGTCACGCCACCGTAACATTTTTTATATTTATTTATGTAAAATTAATTTTTTTAAATACATTTGTAAATAAATAATTGTTTTTAAATAAACAAATATTTGCAAATAAACAATTATTTATAAATAAAACGAATATTTGAGAGTAAATTAATTGTTTATAAATATGAAATGTATAATAAAATAATAATGTTAATAATCATAATTAATGTTAAAATATATCAATATATAAAAATTATAATATTTCTTTAAGATGTAGTGTTCTTGACATTTTGTGTTATTAAAATAAGGAAATCAACATACGGAGTCACCAACACATAGAAGAAAAGCAATAAACACTTTTCATGTCTGTGAGGTACCGATCTTGAATCTAACCCAAAGAGGCGAGCTGGTACCGCCGCGAAAACTACATTGGAAAATATACCTATATAAAGGGAGACCTTTCACTACAAAGTCAGTCCCAAATTATACGCACAAATTCATCGTATCGAGTGTCAAATACAGTTCCAAAATATATACATCGAAGTTTCATCATTGTTAACAAGTTAAAATATTACATATTCAGAAGTTTTCGTCAGTTACGGTCCTGCCTAAAATATACCAGTGTCAATGCGGTAATAAAAATTTTACAACTTAGAAGATATAATCTTAGGAGACCCGGTGTTCGAGAAAGGAAAAAACTAATAGAAGAATCTTCGCAGATTACACGGAAAGACTTTGTGCATCACTTTCTGTCAAACTTGCCAAGAGATTTTAGTAAACTCGCGACCAAACTCGGAAAAAATGGAAAACTATCATTTTATATAAATGTTTTCAACAAAAAATGTTTTCTTTTTTATCAAAATTTAGTAGTCACGCTAAGAAATATTCGTTAACGCTGTAAGAAAAATTAAGATTAAGAAAAAATGAATATCAAAAGTATATTCTTTATATTTGTAAGAACGACATTTTCATTGCGTCGTGTTTACAATTTAGTAGTCTCACGATGAAAACAGCACGCATACAAACAAGCGAAGCTTGTCCGTGTAGCGTCAGCAGTTGAATAGTTCCGGCATAGATAGAAAAATGTCTACACAACGAACACTTTTAATAATCCTGTTTGCATAAAAAATTAATTCTGACATTTCCTAAAATTGACCTTATTAATAATATTAAATAGTTTATTTTTTTGAAATTTTTTTATTGTACTTGAAATAAGTTTAAACATAATAAAAATTTTCTCGTAAGTGGAAATGAAATGGTGAGATTAATATATAAGAAAAATAAACTGCCCTCTTGATATCGTTGATATGAATTGTATTTGCGTTGCGTCGGTTAAAGCGAGCGTTTACCCTATCTGTATTTTAGACGATTTTAGGTTAAGATGTGATCTCTCGTTCATAGGTAAATCGGATTTCTACATTACTTATCAATTGTCGATATATATACGTATATATGGAGTTTCAGATGGCAACTTTAGTAGTCACGCTATTAAAAGCTATGTATATGTTTTTTTAGTGAAACTTCAGATTTTATTTTTTGATCGACTGACTATTAAATTTTAAAATTCTCAACAATCAATTATTGTACATCAGTAACTTTTTTCTGATTTTAATAGTCAGACTACGAATTATTAATATCTTTCCTTTTTTTCCGAGTTTGGTAAAAAGTTTACTAAAATCTCGTGGCGAGTTTAACACAAAGTGATGCACAAAGTCTTTCCGTGTATTTAAAGGTAACCATACCAAATATTAAAACAAGGATTTATTTGATTGCATAAATTGTTAAGAACATTTTACATTTTTTTAAATAAATAATTTTTATATTATATTTCTATTCTTTCATTTAATAAACCTCTTCCCAACTTAGTTAATTTAACTAAGTTAAATTGAGGAAATTAGAATAGGGAACAATTATAAGTTCAGATTAGTTAAAATTAATATTTATTTAAAATATGACATAACAGAAACAAACCGATATAATTGTAAATAATTATAAATTATATATTATTTTTCATTAATTTTTAGAAATTTCAGGAAAAATGTGAATTTTTGACTTTTTAACTTCCATTAATTCTTTAAATTTAACTCAAATCTATAGGTACTCAAATTTTTATAATAATTATTATTATTATATTATTTTTGTATGTTTATTTCAATGTTAATGCTTTTTCCACGAGGAAGCAAATTTTTTTGCTGATCGTAAAGAGGAAGCAAAATGTTCATGTAATGAACATCTAAATTTACAACTTGTTTATTTATATTATATAAAAAATAAAAAAGTTTAAACAATTTTCAGGCAAATTACAAATGTGTATTTTTTCATAGTCTGCGTATCTCTAATAACACTTAATGCAAGTGTTTTTCTTGTAGATAAAAATGAAAGAATAAAAACATTAAATGTTTGGAGACCTTATGATTTAAATGTTAATTTATACTTTTGGATTACATTAATTCATGAATTTTTTGGACATTTATTGATGGCATGTTGTCACATATGTGGTGATACTTTAATACCGGGAATTATGATTCAAATTTCTTGTCAATTAAAATTTTTACAACAAAGAGTGAAAAATCTTCCCTCTAAGGTTGAAGATATTAATAAATCTATCAAATCCGTCGTCAATAAAATTAATATTGAAAAGAATTTAATTGTAGAAATTATTAAACATCATAATGTATTATTTACGTAAGTACTATAAATTTTTTTCAATAATTTATTAAATACTATAATAATAATTATTTTTATTAATTTTCAAGAATTTCGAAACAATTGAAAGAAACGTTTGTGGAAATTTTGTTTTTTCAATTTTTTTTAAGTTTGATAGTAATATGCTTCAGCATTATTAAACTTTCTAAAGGAAAAGCATTCGATTCAACTTCTCTGATTATTTATCCATATCTTTCTGCAATGTTATTTCAATTATTTGCATATAGCTGGTATGGAAATTTACTAATGTTAAATGTAAGTTTAATTTTAATGTTTCATTTAACATTTTAATTAATAATAATTAATTAAGGGTATATTCGGGCAAAGGACGTTATTGTGGTTTTAAAATTTCTCTGAATAACTAAAAAAATTGTTTTCTAAATTTAAGAATATCTTCTTGGCGCCTATTTAAAAATATTTGCCATGCATTTTATTCTTAAAATTAGAATACAATATTCTTAAAATACACTGAGAGAAATGGATAGTAAGAATTTGATAGTAAAAAGAAAGATTGTACAAGGTACTATCATTGTGTTACTCACAAGAATCTACTATCAACATTTTACTATCCAAGATGTTACCCGAAGACGTAAAATATGTTAGCTTTTGGATTGTAGTCACTACTATCAAATATTGTAAAAATTAAATGTGAGCGCATGCGCTGATTGTGGTGTATACTTCGCCTATTCAATTGCGGTCCTTGTGTTTTCACGCACGTGTTTATATATAGTGAAAAAAGTTGTGAATAAAAAAATGGACGAGTTTGTTAAAAATTTATTAATGTCGTGGAATATGGAATCTTTGATTCCATCTTTTGGAGGTAGGTTTATTATTTTTATTGAATTAGCGAAAACTGAAGTGTGAACGTGTTTATAACCTCAAAACAATTTTGCGTTGTTTAGACGGTGAAATTGATGAAGAATCGTTTTACTTACTGGACAATGATACAATATCACTCATTATACCAAAACCAGAACCTCGCTTAAAATTTTTTTAAAAATTTCAAGATTACAAAAATCAAGTAAGTTTTTTTTTCGTTTGTATAAATGTACATGTGTTTATTGAAATTTTTTTTTGGAAAAAAAACTTTTTCATATTTTTTCTTACTTTTTTTAAACTTAAAAATTAGTAAAATAATACAAATTCAATTGACTCTGTGAAAAAAATATACCGTTTGATAAATATATTTATGTTTAAGCAAGTCCTTTTTATAGACGGAGTGAAAAAATAGACATACTCTTTTTTATGTAAAAAGTTTAAAGTTTAAATTCTTATCGAAATGTCTTATTAAAATAAAATGAAATTATTTAAGTTTACAAAAAAAGCGAGGTTAGGTTCGTGTATATTTGCCACTCGAGAACGTAAAGAGATCGTATAAAATTTTTAACATCAAAGATTGTAAATTGTACAATCAAGTTTCTATAATCATCTGATAGTAAATACTACAATCTATATCGCTGTATGTATATTTAGCACTAAATATGGTTGCCCTTAACATCATTATGTTACCCAGTAGCATAAATTTCTCTCCGTGTAAGAATAAACAATTTTTAAATTAAGAATTATTCAATAGATAAAAGAAAAAATTCTTAATTTAAGAAATGTTCACAGTAAACTTGGTTGTCTCTTTTTCTACTGCAACGTTTTGATGCACATAAGTTATATCAAAAAGAGATCGTTTTGTGTATCATTTTTAGAAATGATACACGAAATGGTCTCATTTTTTGATGCCAAAAATTTAATCAATTTATATGAATCATGGCCGAATTGAATCGACTCAAAATTAAACGAATTTTTTCAGATATTTTGGTAATAGTACAATTGCGGAGACCATTTCAGTATTTAATTTGAAAATGAAAATAACAGAAAATCAAAGACAATGTGCAATTCGATAATTAAAAAGTGACAGCTTATAAACATAACCTAAAATGCATGAGAAAAAATTTGTCGATAAAATCAATATAGCCGAGCTTTTTAGAAGGTAGATGGCAGCACTCATCTATTTTCTTTCTATAAATTTTTTCTGAATCGTTTTTATAAAAAGCAAAACTGCCATCTACCTTCTAAAAAGCTCGGCTATATTGATTTTATCGACAAATTTTTTCTCATGCATTTTAGGTTATGTTTATAAGCTGTCACTTTTTAATTATCGAATTGCACATTGTCTTTGATTTTCTGTTATTTTCATTTTCAAATTAAATACTGAAATGGTCTCCGCAATTGTACTATTACCAAAATATCTGAAAAAAATTCCTTTAATTTTGAGTCGATTCAATTCGGCCATGATTGATATAAATTGATTAAATTTTTTGCATCAAAAAATGAGACCGTTTCGTGTATCATTTCTAAAAATGATACACAAAACGATCTCTTTTTGATATAACTTATGTGCATCAAAACGTTGCAAAGATTTGATGCAATTTTTGGTCTCAATTTGAGACTTTTAGGAAAACTGTGTTTCTTATTTTAAGAATATTATATTCTAACTTATATATATTATCTTGAATATCTGCAAATATCTTGAAAAGTACACATTTTCGTGATACTTCTTTTTTCATTGTTGGGTCCCGGGACCAATTTTTTAGCTTCAAAAATGTAGATCTTTTTTTGTGGGAACAACTTTTGGTTTAAATATTTTTCACGAAAATGCGTATACTTTTCGAGATATTTTCAAGTTTCCATACTTTTGGAACACCCTGTAAATAATTAATTTTTTGACAGAGTGTCGAATTACAAGAAAAAGTTCCATCAGTAAATTGGCTTTCTCTTGAGAAAGAAACTAGAAAATGTATTGTTATCTTAATAATTCGTTCATCACGACCAATATTAATTTCTGTTGGCTCATTAATTCCTGTTAATTTGGATTCTTTTGTTAAAGTAAGCATATTTTTAGAAGTAAACAAAATAAAAGAAATGTCACTCAAAACGATATGTTTTATTATAAATAATTTTTTATTAATTAACTATTTTCTAAATAATTTATTTTTAGATTTTGCGAGCATCTTTTTCAGCGTTCAATGTTTTGAAACAAACAGTGTAAATTATTGGCTTTTGTATAATATAAAAAACTTATTCAATAAAAAATTATAAACATTTTTTGAATATTTTTATTTATTTATTTTTTTGAAAAGAATTAAACAACGAGAAAATAAGGATAAGTGTTTTTATTTTATGGCGAAATTATATTCCATGAAACCATTTCTGAATTTCTCATGGCGTCATCATAAGGTCAAATTAAAAAAAAATTCAAAATTGCATACCAGACTTGCGCTTATATTTAAATATTAAAAATAAACATTAATTAATAAATAAATTATTTTTAAAAAATTGATATTTTTTAATTTAACATTTTTTTTATTAAACTTCAATGTCTTTGGCGTAAAAAAGATTCTTATCATATTTTGAAAATTTTGTAAAACAAAGAAGTTGTAATCATGTGAAAAAAAATGTAATTAAATTTATAATGCAAATATCTTGAAAAATAATAACAATATCTAATTCATATTTGGTACAGTTATTTAAGACCAAAAATACTACTTATAAACGAAAAATTAAAGAAAATCTGAAACATAACCCTTAACTCTCTCGCAAAATTACCCACTTGCCAAATGGCTGTTTGAAGCATACATTTTTCTTTAACAAGAATTTATCTTTGAAGTGCATTATAGGAAGTTTTAAGGGTCGCTGATTACGAATCCGAAGCCAGATTTTAAAATTTTTCAAAATTCAAAATGGCGGATCCAATATGGCGGACAATTTTTTTTAAATTGATCATATCCGCTCGAAACTGGTTACTCAGGGGTTTTCGGGGTCGCTGATTACGAATCCGATGTCATTTTTTCAAAATTCAAAATGGCGGATCCAATATAGCGGACAATTTTGTTAAAATTAATCAAATTGATCACAGACACACACACACACAAAAGCGCTATTTTGAATTATAAAAATCCAAAGTCATATTCATAAGCAGCGACATCAAAAACACCGTAGTAACAAGTTTCAAGCAAATCTGATCAATTCTTCATTTTGTCATCCGCCATATTGGATCCGCCATTTTGAATTTTGATAATCCAACATCATATTCGTAACCAGCGACCCAAAAACCCCTCGAGTAACAAGTTTCAAGCCATTCCTATAAATTCTTCATTTTGTCATCCGCCATATTGGATCCGCCATTTTGAATTTTAAAAATATGATGCCAGATTCGTAATCAGCGACACCGAAAACTTTATAGACATTATTGTTAGATTATTTCCTATTGTTGTTTAGTCACAATTACATTTATTGTAAAAAAACGCTATTTTTAAACATAATTTGTTTATAACATTTATTTTAGGTATAAAAAACACTTTTTTAATGTAGTTATATTGTAATGGATATTCTAAAATACATTTTGTTACTGAAATGTGTAAAATAGTGGCTGAAGTATTCAAAAAAGTGCAAGAAAAAAGGTGGAGTGTCAGGAGTGTCACTATGCCGCAAAGGGTTAAAATCATTAAAGTAGTGTCGATATGTTGTGTTAAGAAAAGTTTTTATTGTTATTTTCGTGATTGGTAAATCTTAGCTGATGTATTTTTTAGTGTTTATTAATTCTCCAAATGAAAATTGTATTCTTTTTTGTTATTTTCGAGAAAATATTTTAAAACTTTTCGTAAAAAAATATGCTCATATTTAATTTATCGTTATTTATTTATTTTTTTATTATTTTAACTCAAAAAAAATGTTTTAGCTGATGTATTTTTTGACAATAATCAATTACCGTAAAATGGGGTAAAGTCGGCGATTTGGTAACCTATTTCTGAAATATTTAATTATCTATTTTATAGAAAAAAAAATCAAAGATGTGCAATTGTTTTAGTAATTACAAATGCCAAACATCAATTTAAAAATTATTGGAGTCGATTTCATCAATAAGTTTTCATAAAAAATATATTTATGTGTGAATATCCATTTAGCCTCGAAAGTAAGTACTGCAAAAAAAGTAGTTGTACATTTTTATAAAAAAATTTTTGTGGTAAATCAAATTGTGTATCGTATTTCTTATATCTCTGACATAATTTACAAACAAAAATAACCTATATAAAATGATTAGATTTGACAACATATCAGTTTCTGTAAAAATTTGACATTTGTAGAGTAAAGTCGGCGATAATGCGGGTCTATAAAAAAAAAGACGGATTCGTCTCGATTATTTAAATATTCAACGGATCAATTGCAAAGGGCAATAGAAGAAGCAAAAAAAGGTCAAAAATCAATGTCACAAGTTGCAAAGGAACATGAAGTTCCCGTTTCGACTTTGAAAGATAAAATGGCAAATAAACACCCTCTAAATCATGGACGGCCTTGTGCACTATCGCCATCAGAAGAAATTGCAATAGCTGAACATTTGAAACTTGCAGGATCCTGGGGGTTTCCTCTACGGTCAAATGATCTATGCCTCATAATTCAATTATATCTAAATGATTCGGGACGTAAATGTACATTCTTCAAAAATAATGAGCCAAGTCGAGAATGGGTTCAGTTATTTCTACAGCGTCATGAAGACTTGTCCGTTCGTTTAAGTGAAAATATTAAAAGGTCTAGAGCTAAAGTTAATGATGTAATGATAAATGAATATTTTGATAATTTGGAGGTTTCACTGAATGGAATTCCACCATCAAATATTCTCAATTATGATGAAACTAATTTTACCGATGATCCTGGAAGCATTCAAGTAATCGTTAAAAGAGGTTCAAAACATCCGGAAAGAATTATTGACTCCTCAAAAAGCGCCACTGTCTATAAAGCAAAACATCTTTATCCAACGTGGATTGAAGGAGGGATTCCAGGTTCCTGGTACAATCGAAACAGTAGCGGATGGTTTGATATGGATATCTTTGAAGATTGGTTTTTAAAAATATGTTTACCGTATTTAAAAAATCTTCCCGGCAAAAAAGTTATGATTGGAGATAACTTAGCTAGTCATGTATCTCCTAAAGTAATAAAGGAGTGTCAAGAAAATGATATTGCTTTTATCTTGTTGCCACCTAATTCAACCCATCTTTCACAACCGTTAGATGTCGCTATCTTTCGATCCATTAAGAAAAGTTGAAGAGAAGAGTTGAATTTGTGGAAAAATAAGAACCGTGGAACAATTCCAAAAGCAATCTTTCCAAGTCTTCTAAAATCTACAATTGATCGAGTTGGTGACAAAATGAGCGTAAACATTCAGTCTGGATTTAAAGCCTGTGGAATTATACCACTCAACAGAAATTCTATCTTGAAGATGTTGCCAAGTGCAGAAACGAGTAAAGATATTGTTAACCCTACGGTTTTGACTGATTCATTCATTTCATATTTAGAAGAACGAAGAGCTGAAGTCTCAAATCAACGTTCTACCCGTCGTAAGAAACTGGCGATTAAACCTGGGGAAAGTGTATCTGTGGAAGAAGCAGTGCGTTCTTTGGAAGAGAAAGAGGTAGAAAAAGCTACCAAAATGAGAAAACGCGGAAGACTAAAGAAGATACTCGTTGGATGTGAAAATGTAGAATCCTTGAATGAAACGCAAGCAAAACGACGAGCTGGAAGACCTAAAAAATTAAGAAAAATCGAAGAATCAAGTGATGATGAGAATTATTGTTCTATAAATAAGGAGAATTTTCATGCGATCGATGCGAGCAGCAGTAAAACTATACCAAAGGACGGTTTAATTTTCAAGGACAAGGACTTTGTATCAATTTCCAATTCAATCTCCAAAAGAAAGAGAAACGAAAAATTAGAAATTTGACGAATTGTCACCGATATCGACGAAAATTTATTCGAAATTGAATTTCTTAAAATGATAAAAGGAAAAGATGATCATTTCGTTTTTCCACTTGTGCCCGATGTTCGAAATGTTCGAAGGGAAAACATAGTTTCTAAACTAAAAGTAAAAATTGAAAAAAAGGGAAGATATTATTTTTCCGAAATAAAAATGTGAATGATTCGAATTCATCGTTTTAGTTTCGTTCAAATAGAGTTGTCTTTAATGATAGAACGTCCAAGCGCCCGTCCTGCCGGAAGGCTTTTTTGGATGGCCCTATATATATGAGGGTGGTAAAAAGGGAACTCAAAATTTTTTTCTGGTCACCCTTTCTTATTAAAGTAGACGTAAAAACGAAAAAATTCATGCGTTAGACTTTAAAAAAAAAATAATATTAAACCATGTTTCGAAGCCTTCAAACTTTGCATGTTTGCAACAAGCCAAAAAAACAGTTTTTCGTAAATTCACTGTAAAATCTACAAAAACCAATATTTTTCGGTCTAACTACTCTCATTTTCTTCTGAAGCCTTCAAAGAATAAAATGTGATAGTTTATTTTTAAAAAAATTCAGTTTAAATATTTTTTTGGATTCGTCAAAAAAACCCTATAAAAACGTCCTTTTTCTTTGAATTCCCTAGCCTAGGAATTTTAATTTACAAACTTTATGTTTACATGCGCTAAAAGCTTGTGTTTTTACCTTTCCAACGATATATTTTACTTTTGGATTATCTGAATCCATGTTAATTTTATAAAGCGATTTCGGAGGGACTCACGTGAGTCTTTTTCATCCTGCCGGAAGGCTGTTGGACGTTCTATCATTAAAACTGTTTAAATAATTGTCAAATTATAATAAAAAGTTAAATAAAAACATAAAATTTAATTAAAAATATATTTAATGTACCTTAGATATTGTATTTGACATATTTTATTTTCAGTGATATCAGAAATTTGTTTTATTTCATTAAAATAACCTATTTTATCTGTTTATAATAATAACCGACTTTACCCCGCTTTTAGGGGAAAAGTCGGCGATGATAAAATGGTGTATAATAAATTCCCTGAGAAGAAATTTACTTTTCTCATGTCATGATCTTATAAAAGAAGAATCAGAGATTATATATTGAAAGTACCAATAATTAATTTAACCATTTTCATGAAGTTTTTTTAAAAAAACATGGAAAAATCGCCGACTTTACCCCATTTTACGGTATCCTAAAGAACAATGCATTTTATTTTCTTGTTTTCAAGTAAATACTGTAAAAAAATTTAACGAAATTTTAGTTTCAATATAGATGGTGCTGCCTTAGTAGGACCTACCCTTAAGAAAATGGGGAATCGAGTAAATTTGACAGCAGTGAATTCTAATTATAAGAGAATAATTATTATTATAATGCCAACGATTTGAAATTTTATGGGGTAAATATGTAATTGGAAATACAAGCTTAATTTACAAATTATTTTTGTTTTTGAATTTTCTACAATATACTGTTTATCTGAAAAAGAAAATTACGACCAACGACAATTGGTAACTGATATATACTTACCCTACTTTCGAAAAAAGTAATAAAAAAAATTGATTTTTTTTTCTTTTTTAAAGTGGGTAGAACCCTTAATGTATTGATCATTTGCTTAATTTGCCAACATAAGAATTTTTTTTATGAATAATTAAACAACTCATTACACATTTTTGCCTAATTTTGTATACAAAAAATAGTTATGAGAGTCATTGTAAATATTTATTTGGCATTTCGAATATTATATATTAGTAGATTGTGGTTGTTGAGAATATTTTAAGTAAAATAGCAAGATATAATCTTTAGAATCATGTCATTTCAAAATAAAGTGATATTCAATTTTAATTTTGCGCCTCTATTTAATCGTTGGAAAATATTAATATTGCGACAAAAAGAAGTAAAGTATAATTTTGATTTTGCCGTACAACTCAATCGTTGGAGCATGCAATTATGTGGAATGTGGCCGATTGAAGATCGTTTTTCAAAATTACGATTCTATATTGTGTTGATATTTCTTTTATGCTTAAATATACCAGCAACGATACAATGTTTTCTTGTGAATGATTTGTTTAAAGAAGTTGAAACTATTTTCGTAACAATCAATCTCGTATTCGTATTTATTAAAGCACTGTTCATTGGAATTTCGAAACAAAAACTCACACCTCTTATACAAGATATGATTGTAAATTGGAATGACACTACATTGTCAAAAGAATCAAAAAATGTAATGATATATAATTTAAAACGTGCGAGATTTATTAATACTTTATATTTGACATTAATGTACGGTGCTTTCATTCGTAAGTGAATTTATAAAGTTATAACTTAATAAAATCAAATAAAAAAAAAAAATGTTCCTATTGAAACAAAAAGAACTTTTTTCAAAATTTATATTCAATCAGTGATTATATATTAATTACAAATTCAGTATTGATAAATTTAGTAATTAATTCTTTTCAGTATTTATAATAAGGCCATTAATAAGATGTGGAGATGAATTTTCACAAAAATGTTTACCATGTCCAGCGTATTATCCTTTTGATATTCAAAAATCACCCAACTACGAACTGGCTTATTTGACGCACATATTTCTCATGGGCTGTGCAGTTACTGTAACATTGAGCGTTAATATTTTTTTAACTGTTGTAGTTTTTCATTTGTGTGGACAAATACAAATATTGGCATTGAATATTAAAGACATCGTGAATCCAAGAAACATTTCTGATGACAAATCAATTAATCCTAAAGAGTGTAAATTCTTATGCAACTTTGTTAAACATCATCTAAAATTAATAAGGTATCATTTTAAAAATAATATATAATAATAACAATGACAGAAACGTTAATAATTATTTATTATGATAATAATAATAATAATATTATATAATTTCCATAGAGATTCAGAAATCCTTGAAAACTCTTTTAACATTATGTTCTTAATGGAAATTGTAATAACTGTAATTACTCTCTGTTTTGTAGGCTTTGCAGTTCTTGTGGTAAATATTGTATAAAACTAATACATATATTCTTTCTCTGCCCAGAATAGATTTAATTAAAATTAAAAATAGACAAAACTGGTCAAATTATAGGATATTCTACGTACATCTTAAGGTTTTAGATTCGCTTTTTGGAAATCAAATTAGCTCTAGAATATCCTTAGTTTGTACACGAATATCTGTGGTACATCTCATGAATATTATAATTTCTGAAATTTTTAATTTTGCTCTGTTTACAAATGATAGTAAAAAATATTTTTAATTTAAATGATCACCAACGTAACTCACCAAATACTTTTAATATATTGTTGATTTTCTCTGATCCTCGAAGTATTAAACTTTTTATCTCGAAAAAATGATGATATAAAAAATTACCGACATATAAATCTATATTACCATCAGTCGGTAATGTAGATTTCTATGTCAGCAATTTTTTTATTTCCCCATGTTGAATTTTCAAAAAGTGCCATACTGCATCAAAAGATAGACAAAATTTGCTGTAATTTAAGGGTATGTGGGGAAAGGACGTTTTTTGTTGTTTGAAATTTTTTCTAAAATAAAAAATGATTTCGGGATAAAATTTTGGAAAAATAATTTTATTTGGTGCAAGGAATCTTGCTGTTCTTCTCATTTATTATAACTTAACGCAAAAATAGTAAAAATAAAGCAATTAATAGTAAAATAATGTATTTAATCATAGTTCATTCAGCGGCCATTCGCTCGAATTGGCGCTGTTTACTGGAGCACTGACAAACTCAAGCAACGTCTATGTATGCGCCGCCATGTTGGTTTTCATTTTCGTTTAAAAATGACAATTTTTAAACTTTATTTTTTAATAATTTAACGCAAAATTATTTATTATTCGGAGAACAGCGAGATTTCTTGAACCCTAATCTATCATCCCTCAAAATTGTAGACAAAAATCTTTTTTCATTTTAGAGTAAGATATATACTACCAAAACACATTTTCCCATACTAGGTCACGTGGGAGGTTCCCACATACCCTTAACAAAAAAAATTAAGTTCAACCCCAATTCCATTAGAAAAACACCCCTACAGTATAATCCCCTACATTGACATTTTTAAAAAAAAATAGAAATTTCGTTACACACAACTTTATTGAAAATTCTAGCAGAAAATACAACTAAAAGTGTAGAAAAAAATTGACACCTCGATACAAGTAGGGGAAGACCCCTATTACCACCCTTAAGAATCCCCTAAACACTGCAAAAAGAAGTATCTTATTATAAGATACATTGGAAGCAAGTTACCAAAAGTATCTTCTTATATATCTTATATCTTAAGAAACTAATGCATTTTAAGATATTGTTGATAACTTAGAAGCAAGTTGTAAAAAACATATTGTTGTAAAAAACTATAGTTGTTCACTTTTGGACGGGCCCAAAATTTGGAAATCTTTCATTACACAGTTTTCCTAAAAGTATCAAATTGAGACCAAAAATTGCATCAAATCTTTGCAACGTTTTGATGCACATAAGTTATATCAAAAAGAGATCGTTTTGTGTATCATTTTTAGAAATGATACACGAAACGTTCTCATTTTTTGATGCAAAAAATTTAATCAATTTATATAAATCATGGCCGAATTGAATCGACTCAAAATTAAACGAATTTTTTTCAGATATTTTGGTAATAGTGCAATTGCGGAGACCATTTCACTATTTAATTTGAAAATGAAAATAACAGAAAATCAAAGACAATGTGCAATTCGATAATTAAAAAGTGACAGCTTATAAACATAACCTAAAATGCATGAGAAAAAATTTGTCGATAAAATCAATATAGCCGAGCTTTTTAGATGGTAGATGGCAGTTTTGCTTTTTATAAAAACGATTCAGAAAAAATTTAAAGAAAGAAAATAGATGAGTGCTGCCACCTACCTTCTAAAAAGCACGGCTATATTGATTTTATCGACAAATTTTTTTCTTATGCATTTTAGGTTATGTTTATAAGCTGTCACTTTTTAATTATCGAATTTCACATTGTCTTTGATTTTCTGTTATTTTCATTTTCAAATTAAGTAGTGAAATGGTCTCCGCAATTGTACTATTGCCAAAATATCTGAAAAAAATTCGTTTAATTTTAAGTCGATTCAATTCGGCCATGATTGATGTAAATTGATTAAATTTTTTGCATCAAAAAATGAGACCGTTTCGTGTATCATTTCTAAAATTGATACGATGATGATGACGATCAATGTCTGCGCACGCGCACAAAAAAAAGTTTGTGGAATCTTGAAAAAAAGTTAATGAAATATTTCCAAACTTTGAGCCCGTCCAAAAGTGAACAACTAGTTTACGAAAGTTTCACGAACTATTTTTTTCCGTGTATGTAAAATTTTCAAAAAAAATAAATTTTCTTATTCACACAGTTTTATTGCAAACTTTTGTAGTTACCTCGAAAAACATCTTCTTTAACAAAAAAATTTTTTTTTTGGATTTAAATGTTATGTACCTCCATGAAGTTGGCGTCGATGCTCAGCGTCGAAGCCAACTTCAGGGAGGTTAGATGTTTCTGTTTTTTTTAAACTTAATTTTTTGTTGTTTTTTATTAGTTTGTACCTATTTTAAGGACTTTTTTGGAATTATTAAAAAAAAAATTTCGTTTGAGATAAACATTGCATACTTCAGGGTGCCTGAAGTATACCCCACACTGTAAAAAGAAGGTACTAAAATAGTACCGATTTTAGGTATTAAAATAGAACCAAAAGGCAATTTAGTAGGGGAGAGTTGCCAGTTGTGAGACACCGCCAGTTGTGAGACAGTCGATTTTTTGTAACGCGTAATATTAAAAAGCCGATTGCTTTATATAAAAACATTTCTTTTTATATGAGTCAACTTTTGCGTGTACACTGAAACGGATATATATATTGCTTGTATTAAATGCCAACACCGTGTTGTGAGAATCGACTAAAATCCATTTTTTCAATATAAGCAAATTACTTTTTTTCTAAGTTAATTAATTAGTAAAGGTAAATGTTATGCATTTTCAATTAGTACTTTTCTTATACTTTGTGATGCAATATTGCATTTTTCAAAATCTACGGTTGAAAAGAATTTTTTTTCGATTTTAAAAATAGCGCCAATTTCTGGTTGTGAGACACCACATGTTACCAGTTGTGAGACGGTGGCGCCATCCATCTGGGATAGCCTATACCCCTATTGAAAATCTCCACATGGGAAACCACATGGGATCCTATGTAAAATCCCATTCCCATTAGGGAAACCACAGGGGATCCCATATAAATCCTCATGGGAAATTGGGACAGGAATTGGCATAGGAAAATATATATGCCAATTCACAAATTAGAAGGCAACATATTCATTTATGTTAAGAATATATAATGCAAACTATAGCCAATGAAAATTATTCACAGTAATGAAAAAGTTATGTTTAGTTTACAAAGAAACAATTTTTTTATTTCTATTTCGTGAATTCTTTTTGATAATTAAAATCGTGCATACACAATAATAGTTGAAAAATGTTTTAACTACTTAAAAATATTCCTACTCGAAATTAAATTCTAAAATTGAATTAAAATATTGCACAAATTAAAACTTTTATTTTATAGTTTTAAACAAATGGATTATTCTCAATTTGAGAAGAAAATATCCCAATTACTAAATTTATTTTTTAAAAACTTCACAACTACCCAGATAGCATAAAAGCTAGTAATAAACTTAGAGCGAAATTATTATTATGTCAGAGGAAAAATTTTTCATGTTATTGGGAATCGAAGCAAAGTTCGTTTCACGCAAATTGAGAACAATAACCGACCTACTACAATAAGCAACAATTAATGAAAAAAAATTTCTACCTTTTGAATCAATAGTAACATGAAATTTTATATAACCAAAAATAATATTTTAATTCAAATAAAATTTATAGATAATGAGGACAAAAAGAATGCCAACGATTTGACTTCACTTTACTAAATTAATTTCTCTCTACATTCTATATTCAAATTAATCTTATTCTAGAAGGCACCAAATATTTCTTGGATCAAAATTAAAATATCAACAAAATTTTAAATAAATGTTTTATTTTAATGAAACTAGGCCACCAGGGTAATTAATCGACAATAAAATTCATTATTTATAACTTGACATATTCCATCCCCCCGCAGCACCGAAACTTTCCTAAAGATTTATTTGAAATATTTCAAATAAATCTTTAGGAAAATTTTTAGAAAAGTTTCGGTGCTGTGAGGGTCAAATCTAAAAGAAAAAAATGAAATAATTTTGAGAGAAATTAAGTATGCCTGCTTTAATCAATAATAATCAAAAATACAATATTAAATTAAGATAGTCTACTCTTAATTCAAAACTTCAACCCTCTCTACTATCTACAAATATTTTTTTAATGAGTTTACATTTTAGGGATTTATTACAATCATATAGGACAACAATTTACCAAAGTATGAAGCCAATCCCAGAACATTCACTTTTTGGGCTGGGGCGATTGAAAAAGAATCTCTCATATGTATAACATGTTAGGATATGATAATATGTTTTTCTTAACATCATAGCAATTTTAAACATCAAGTTTAAAATTCTTTTGAAATAATGTTTAAATGTAAACAAATAATCAATTAACATTTGATAAAGTTATGTAATTAAAATAATATAAAGCACCGGATATTTAAAGATAAGTGAGAATACAAGTTACATATTTTATATAATATATGCAAAGACATATATCATATAAATAAAAAAAATTATTGAATAAAAATAAATAACTAAAAATTAATTATTATTATTTCAGTTCTCCCACGGATTTTCTTTTCAATAATAAATTAAAATAATTAAAATACTATTGTGGGAAGAGAAAGGGGAGGGTACACTAAAACGTCAATCGAGAACAGACGAATGTGCAGTGCTGTTCTCGATTGACGCGATTTTTATCGCTCGAAAATAAAAACACTCAGGGCCGTATGAAGTGCCTTACGCAACAATGTGAATTTTATCTAGGGGATTTTCACTAGTGGGGCACTGAATCCACCTTAAATTTAAAAATCCCAAGTACGACT